TATTTTTTAAAAAGTATAAAACCATTTTAGCTGTCAGTGTCAGTGTGTAAACCTTTGAATCCCATTGTCTCAAAACTAGGGGTTATGCAGTTAGAATCCCACTATTCTAAGAGCGCCATTTAAAGGTAAGTTACAAGAATGTGGCAGTGTAGACATGGTTAATTATTCATTACACAGAGAACTATGCAAAGATGTAAACAAGCAACACGGCTGTGGTTTTTTTTTGTTGCTGTTTGTTTTTTGTTGTTTTTGTTGATTTTTTTTACAGCTTCATAAAGAAACATCGGGGGCTCTCGTGGCCCAGAGGTTAAGGTGTTCGTCTCTGATCAAAGGTCCCGGGTTCGAATCCGGGTTGCAACGGGAAAAGTTTTCTTCCCTAAATTTGTCTCCTCTCATCTCCTTTACCTGCTCTTTAACAATGTTCTGTCGTCTGCTTTCGTCTCCACTTTCCGTCCCACACCCTCATCTCCTTTGCCCCCCTCCTCTGAGCTCCTGACTCTTTCTGCAGCCTTTCTTCCGCCACTCCTTGGCTCCTATTCTTACTGCTGTCTTTCAGCCACGCCCTTGATCTTATGGTTCGAAAGATCTACATCTAGCCAAAAGATTTCGGAGGTCCCGTGTGCAAGTTACGTACGTTAAAGATCAGTTGGTTGTCTAATACATGTATCGATAAGAGTAGGCTTCGGCCGCCACCCGGGTAAATTTCAAAATTTCCTACCAAAGGAAAACGTTTAACTCTTCATCTCCGGCAAGCCACTCTAAGCGGCTCACGATCGGAACCCCTGTGTCGGTGAGTTGCTGACAGTGGCTCGGGGAAAATTCCTTTACGACGACTTAAGCATCAAATTACTTTTTGGCAGTTGCCCAAAACGGGTCTCTTATATCGGAAGTTCATTCATTAGATGAAGAACTATCAAAAAAAGGTATGCTAGTTTCGATATAATGACCCATTTAAAGACGTTTTTGTCATGTTTAGATTGAGCACTAAAAAAGGGCCCCAGCGTAGTGGGTTTACCCCCTTCGGAGATAAAGAGTTAATGTGTCCCGCGCGCACGTATGATCCTATGCAGTTGCGAGCGCCGTAAATAACTTGAAAAAGAAAAAAGGAAAAAGAAAAAAAGAAACATCAAAATGTCCTACCTGTATGGTGGACACGTCCTGCAGTGACGGCACTCCCGAATCACGCACGCGTGCTGTCAGAGCGAGCGGGACATCGGAGAACTCCTCCGGGGGCAGCGCCGTGAGCGAGACGGCACCGGTACTTTCATCGATCTGGAACCAGTCTCTGAATAGAGAAGAGACGAACAAGTGAACAGGTTTGATTTAGACGGAAGAAAAATAAAGGGAGATATGGAAGAAGATGTAGCTCCTTATATAAATCATTTGAAAAGAAAATTAATGTTTCCAAGCTGCAGTCGGGCAAGGATAACTCAAGCATATCGGGGATTGACAATTCAATGTTTTGACACACCCGTAATTCGGGTAAACCAATATCATAACAAAAGATTAAATCAATATGAGTCCGGCATATTATACGAACTATCCATGTTTTCGACTTTCTCGGGGTTTTTTCTTCAGGTTATCTGTGCCCGATTGTAATTTATTCATTTCATCGTCTCAAAAAAAGCACCATTTCTTTTTCTTTCAAGAAAAAAATATCCTGTGAGCTTTTTTCGTGAGTATCGTAATAGTTAAAAGAAAGATTGCATTAAGACAGAAGATTAGAATCACAATCATAATAGAGAACCCCTACCCAGTAAAAAGAAAGAAAAGGAAAGAAGGCAAAAGGAAAGTAGGTTTTTGATCACTTCACCCTTTATTGCAATTTTTTTTCAGTGCTACTAGTGTCTCAGCATGGAAGTCGAACCTTTCAACTCTTACAAAATACTCTACATCTCAGCATTTATCGTGGGTGGCTGGCGGGTGCTCTGGGGTGGTTTGCTCCTTCTTTCCTATCAAATATCTATCGTCCTTATCTCCCCTCCTTCTTTTTAATGTTTGTAACTCTCTTGTAACACCTCTAATCTTCTGGCGCTCATTATGATATTATGCAGTTGCGAGCGCCATAAAACCTCTACTAAAACTAACAAACAAAAACCGCATTTATCTCTTCTGCAAAAGCAAGACGTAACATGGCCCTTACCCGCCCGAAAGGAGGTCGTACTGTAACTCAGCATTCTGGTCGGTATCTGCGTCGGTTGCCTTTCCGAGATTGAAGAAGGAAAAAAACCCGCAACAGAATGAACATCAAGAAAACGTATTAGATCTAAGGCAAATTCAAAAAATAAAAGGATAAAGAAATTTTTTTTAAAGTACACTAATCATTCGTCCGTTAACGAATGACAACGACCAAAGGACCATTGCAGAGCAGACTTGTCCTTAAAGAGAAATATACAAACTGTGGATTAAGATGTCGCAACCTTAGAGCTTTCTTGTCCTATCTACATGTTATTTAACAGTGAAAATGCGACTTCTTTTTAATATCACTCTTTGTTATGAACCGTTTTCACTGCGCGATGAGGTTTCTGCTAGAATCAATGAGACCAATTCTGGCATAGGCAGCGTTTGCAATTGATTGTTTTGTTTGTTGGATAGGATAGACTTATTTTCCCGAAGCTCTGTGTTGCGTGTTTGGCTTTTAAAATGCTTTATTCGAGCCTATGATAGGGACAACATACAAGTGTGTAAAATAATAATAATATATAATATTAAAATAAGATATCTTACATTCAGCTGCAGAATGACGTCACCGACATTTTGGTTTTCCAGAGAGAGGCTACGATCATGTGACACAAACATAGGGGCGTTGTCGTTGACGTCATCAACTGTGACTGACACTATGTAGGCAGGAGTTGTTCTCTGGGGGAAAAAGAAAATAAAGCTAAACACATAGATATTATCATGTACAAGAAACATTATTTTACAGAATCGTTATATTTCTGTGAAAGAGGGATGTGGGCCTGCTGTTTCGAAATGCCCACCCAATCAACTGAACTGAATTAATTCACAGATACCTACAAACACGACATAACCCTATAAAAACCCCAGAAATTATGTTCAAGAGTGAATTCTTTCTCTATAGTCGCACGGTGAACAGGTATAAAATTATGTTTAACGCCCCAATCAACACTGTTAGGTTATTTAAGAGGCGGGACCTCCGAGTTTAACATTCATCTCCAAAAGGACCGAGCCAAAACGGAACTTCGTGTAAAGTGCCTTACCGAAGGACGAATACGATTCCAGTAGCCTAACAACTAGACTGATTGATTGATTGACTGATTAGTTGATTGATTAATCGATTGATTGATTAAGACAGACAGAAAGACCGACAGACAGACAGACAGACAGACAGACAGACAGACAGACAGACAGACAGACAGACAGACAGACAGACAGACAGATAGAAAGAAAGACAGACAGACAGACACGAATACGATTCCAGTAGCCTAACAACTAGACTGATTGATTGATTGACTGATTAGTTGATTGATTAATCGATTGATTGATTAAGACAGACAGAAAGACAGACAGACAGACAGACAGACAGACAGACAGACAGACAGACAGACAGACAGATAGAAAGAAAGACAGACAGACAGACAGAAAGACAGAGACGATGACAAACAGACAGGTAGACAGATAGATGAAACACTGACAGATAGAGAGAGAAAGCGAGACAGAGCGAGAGAGAGAGACAAAGAGAGAGTACTAGAGAGAGTGAAAGAGAGACAGGCAGAGACACAGGGAGAGAGCGAGAGAGAGCGAGAGAGAGCGAGAGCGAGAGAGAGAGAGAGAGAGAGAGAGAGAGAGAGAGAGAGAGAGAAAGAAAGAGAGAGACGGGCGGACAGACAGACAGACAGACAGACAGACAGACAGACAGACAGATAAACAGAGACACAGAGACGGACAGAGACACAGAGAAACTGAGAAAGATAGAGAGACAGACAGATAGATACAGAGAGACAGACAGAGACAGAGAGAGAGAAAGAGAGAGAGAGATACACACACCCACACACACACAGAGAGAGAGAGAGAGAGAGAGGGAGAGAGACAAAGAGAGAGAGAGAGAGAGAGAGAGAAAGAGAGAGAGAGAGAGAGAGAGAGAGAGAGAGAGAAAGAGAGAGAGAGAGAGAGAGTGATAGGGGATGGAAGTGGATGTACGAATGTAAGAAGATGGAGAGGTTGATTACCAGGGCTCCTACGTAAAGAGTGACGTTATAGAAGTCTTTAGTCTCCCTGTCCAGTTCACCAGTCGTCTCTAGACTCCTGTAAAAACCAAAAAGAAAGGAAATTACACTTTTGTTTGTCCCGGAAGGGCACTTTGGTTTACAATGGCAAACATACATTTACATACATAAATATACATAATTATAAATACATACATATATAAATACATGTATAAATACGTACACGAATACACAATATTATTACACAAATACAGAACAGTTTACAGCCATGCCACTGCCGGTCACCACTGTGCAGCGCCCTGTATTTTGAGCTAGGGTTGTTGTGTCTTGCTCATGGACACACCCCAGTGTGACCACCCATCTGATCCCCATGTCACCGACACTTGCTTGACATTACTTGAGTCTTAACTCACCACTCACTTAGCCACTGGAGCCCCCTGTACGGAAATGATGCAACATGGCTCAGCATAATGTGAAGAGTGAAGGAATAATACACAGCGTTATTGAATTGAGCTCACTCTCAGATTACACGTTTTCCAAGCCTCCCGGTGATGCTAGAAAGGGCAGAAGATACTCGGAGACGTCTCCGGCGAGCACCCAGGAACTATTCTGAGACGCACTCCCGCACACAGATGCACTGCTTTGGGGGGTCAAACTGCGCATTATTTGCTGCAGATCACACATAATACAGCCAATAATACAGTCACAAATCAATTATTTTAAAGAAAATTTCAAACTTAACTGCAAAATATCAAATTATGGGTTAAATCAGGGGGCATGCGCTCCTGTAACCTCCTCCCCCCCCCCCCACAA